ACACAGACAATACATTGAACCAATCAAAACTCGAAGTAATTACATGTGGCTGACGCAAAGCGCGGGAAAATGCATGCGAGCGCGTCACAATTGGCTTTGGTTTTACTTCTGATTGGATGAAAAGGTGGCGCGAATCTTTTAAGCCAATCGCATCGTGTAGAAAGTGCAAAACCAATTACTTTTCGACACTCAAATGAAAACCGCTCTATACTGCAAGATAAACCTGTGAATCTTGATCTTTTTTTAATAAGAGAGCAGGAAGAGGGCTGAAACAACAAAACGAATCTTCTAAATAAGATTCAAAACCACAACCACTTAGTAAATTCTACCTTGTTTACTAGATTACTGACCTCCAAAAAGTGGGATTCAAACTCACGATTATAGCCAGAAATTACATATAAGAGCTTAAAAGGTGTTAAAGATGGGATTCAAACCCATTTGCTTAAGAGAACAACACTTGGTTTTTGTTGCTTAGCTTAAGCAGAAATCATTCGCTGCTTCCACTTTCTATTAACCATAACATCAGATGTTTGTTTTGCAGTATTTTGTTTAGTTACAGCAAGGCAGCTCAGTTGCCATGTACCGCGGAGGAACTCCCCAGTAAAGAAGCTGGTGTCAGTTTCAGGTTAGTACAGTTGGTTTCTCATTTGTGTAGTTATACATAAGGAAGCTGGCGCTTTCAAAGCCGGTTGGGATAAAAATACACGAAACCAACTCGCAGTAGCTGTTTCTCAACACAATTTTTGTATTTGCTTTGTTCACAGATTCACATCCTTCCTTTCTATTACTGGCATTATCGCCAACTTCTAAGCCATAGCATGTTTAACGAACACGCAACCAACGACAGCCGAAGGGCTAGTAAAAACGAGCTTCTCAACCATCGAATCAGCTTCATTCAGCCAAACAAGACAACACTACTGGTCAGTCAAATGGGAAGGGCAGTGGGTGGCTACTAATTAATAAAAGCGCTTGTTGAACCTTACAAATCGTACACTCCACACAGGTTGTGTCTTAAGTCCGCGCGGACTTCTTGTTGTCTTGTGTCTTTTTCTAAACTTAATTGGTGTTCATAAAATTACTTAACAAACTAACCATATTTTACTTTGTAGGAAGATCTTTCTACTAAGACGTTTTATTTTAGGTTTTGAACTAACATCATGCTCGTCGAATTTTGGAACTTTGATAATTAATATATCGTTCAATCGTTAGAAACAACTGAGTACTAACAGAAATATTTTATTTCTGGAACTTTTTGTTTTAAGTTTTTTCGTCGCTGGCTTTCTAGATGATTTGGATGAAAATAGAACCGACTAATAACTCAATTACTACCGCCAAGATGATTTTTAATAAAGATGATCATCATTTGATCGTGCCATTTTTAAAAAGCTGTTTAATTACGTCTTTTTGTCCTTGTTTTGGAGCGTGCACGAACTAATAGAGAGTTTTAGATCCGAGTTTACGGCGAACCTCTAACCGCTGGAGGTCACGTGACAAGTCTTTCGCGTCACGTTTGAGGTATACAACGTGCATTTTCAACGTGGAGAGGTAGGTTTTCACGTAGGTCATTTACCTGAAAGCTTTTAGCGTATAATTCTTGTTTTATCTCACGTAATGATACAAAAATCTTGTGGAGCAAGTCTTTATCCATTAACAGAGGCACAAATTCGGGCGAAATGCTAAATTTGATAAATCCTATTGGATCTTGGAAACAAGTGCCATTCATGGCTGCTGATTCAAAATGGCGGCCGTAAATTCATTGCAAGAAGACCTAATGTAAGAATACAGAGCTCTTTGGCGCTAGTAACCCAGTGCTACCGTAAATTTCTTTTATTTTCACTGATTGATATTTCTTCTATTTCTAAATGGAAAAATAAACCAGAATCCACTTCTTTAATCCTCCGCCAATCTAAATCGAATTATGTTTGAACGTTGAACCGCAAACGGGTAACCACAAACCGCGGTTAGAGGTTCGCGGTAAACTCCGATCTAAAACTCTCTAATATAATAAACATAACTTCAATTTTCCACCACTTTCCATAAACGACAATTAAATTCCTTGACTTTCAAGGCCTGAAAAATGAAATTCTTAACCTCATGACTTTCCAGGTTTTCCATGACTTGTACGAACCCTGATAATTTTATGAATACTTGCAGGTCTTTTAATTTGTTTAATGGAATCCCCACTAGGCAGAAATCCGTGAAATATTGAACCGTTGTTAAATTTATCATTCATTTGTTTTGTAGTTTGCACTTTTCTTTCGATAAATACTTTGTTTATAGTGAAAGGGTAGCTAGCTGACCTAGCCAGTTTATAAAGCATCCCCGAATTAGCAGGATAAAGTCAGTTAGTTTCTGGGAAAAAATGCAGCTAAAAAAAGTCGTCAAAGAAACTCATGAGCCCGGGGTGTCCGCTTGCGGGTTCGACGCCCTTATTATTTGGCCACCTCACTGCCTCCCCGAATTTCGTAAGTCTGAAACTCATAATTCATAATTCATCTCCCAAGCGTTCTCGACCACGATCCAAATACTTGCTGTTCGATAATTCACAGCTGTGTTCCGCGGCTTGTTCGAAGACAGCTCTGAAGCAAAATAGCTTTTTGTATCCTCTCCTAAACGTCTTATTGAGGGCCCCATATATGAAGGGGTTAAGAGAAGAACTTGTAAGGCCTATCATTGTGTACAAGACATAAATCCCTCGAGACTGGGACCAACATCCAAGGCCCATATCTACAAAGTCGATAACAAGAATAGGGGTCCAACAAATAAGGTATCCTAAAACAGTCACGAATAAAGTTCGAGTCAGTTTAATCTCTTCTGTAGATATCTTTGTATTATTATTTTGCGTTTCAAAAGCCACACGGAGATTTTTAACGCGTCTTGTGTTCAACTGCAAGTTCCTAAAAACGTTAACATAGCAAAAGGTGAGGACAGCCAACGAGGCTAACACGTAGACGTAGATTACACTAGAAGCAAATGAGTGCTTTTCTTGGTGGAAACAGAAAAACTTCCCTGGATGGAAAATGAATCTCTTACCACTACCAAGGTAGGGAATTGGGGTTGTTAGGGCTATTACCCATACTGCCCCAGTCATCAACCGCGCGCGCGGCATGGTGAAGAGCAATCGATGTTTTATAGGGCGAACAACCCGGAAATATCGATCTACAGACATAAGGGCCATGTTCAAAAGAGAGGCACTGACTGTGGATATGACGACAAAGCCTTGTAACTGACATGCAGCAAAACCAGAAATCCATCGCCCTTTAATGAGTGATATTACAGAGGGTGGGGTCCCGAGGCAGGCCATGGTAATGTCTGAAAGAGCGAGCGATGCCAAGAAGAGGCCTGGAACGGTTCGAAGTCTTGGTGTTTTGTACACAATATAAAGCACTAGAAGATTTCCGATAAATGCAGTCGCCGCAATGGAACCATAGATAAAGGATTCCAGAACTACTTGAAAAGTACTTCTTGAATGTAATTGTTCTTCGAGCTTGAGAGCGTGACTTTGGCAAATATTCATCTTAGATTTAACTACAACAGAAAAAGAAAAGAAAGTTGCTTTCTGTCTTAGTAGATAACCTGAGATCAGACCCAATTTTAGCAGCTTCCACGGCTCAGGTTACTTAGTAGAATACTGGTAAGCAATGGCCTGTTTACAGCGCTCTATAACGTATGACATTGAAATCTTTCCTTCCATCGCAGCGCTTTCGCGAGTGGCTCTTAGCCTTAGTAGTCTGGTCACGATTTGTCTGTGGACGGACTAGTTATGCAGCATAAATTCAGCATTCTTTTATCTCTGTCAGTACAAAATCGCATGCTTCAACATAGAATTTTCACAATAGCTCCTCAGTCTGTTTTATTACATTTTTAAAGGTGAAACCAGAGATTTTTTTAACATTTTGGCATAAATTCCGGAAAGATTTTTAGGCAATTTCTTTAAGGGATTTTTATAGCCAAGCCTAGTCGACTTGTTTTGTACAAATCAATCTACGTCACATGACGTCACAGCCAGAAATTACGTGTCCGTTTGGCCGCGCGTTAAGGCGGACAATTTTCACTTATGTCCAGGATCGATCTTGTTAGCAAAAATTTGCTAGCAAATTGTTTTCGCAATTGTCGCAAAAGAAATAATTGAGAAAAATTATGTCAGAACATCACTTACAAATATCGCAAAAATAACAAATCGAACAAGAATCAAGACTTAGAAAAAAAGGAAACAAGAAGGACCCCGAAATGTCCGCAAATATCGCAAAAATAACAAATCTAAAAAGAATCAAGACTTAGAAAAAAAAGAAGCCAAGAATGACTCCGAAATGTCCGCAAATATCTCATAAATCGTAAAAGTAACAAGGATTTTTCATGCTAGCTAAAAACACCCATGACAAATATCGCAAATATCGCAAAAATAACAAATGTAACAAAATTCCAGACTTACAAAGAAAAGAAGCCGAGAAGAGCCCCGAAATGTCCGCAAATATCGCAAAAATCGCGAAAGTAACAAGGATTTTTCATGCTAGCTAAAAACAGCCATGACAAATATCGCAAAAATAACAAATCTAACAAGAATCAAAACTTCGAAAGAGAAGAAAGGGCCCCGAAATGTCCGCAAATATCGCAAAAATGGCAAAAGTAACAAGGATTTTTCTTGCGAGCTAAAAACATCCGTGACAAATATCGCAAAAATCACGTCGTATTAAAGCAAATACGCAATAGGGTTTTCCGATTTAGCGGAAGTTCGAGCCATTTTTTCGAGATGTCAAATTGATTGCAGGGGCGGATCCAGGATTTTTTTTAGGAGGGGGTGCACACGTCTCTTGCTCTACTTCAACACCAATAAACCACGTAGTTTTTTTTCTTTGCAGAAACCAGTTGTATTAGAAAACCGCAGGTCATCTCAGGGGGGGGGGGGGGGGGG